AAAAGTTGCTCTCAATGTAGATCTTCACTCAGTCATTTGGTACTTGACTATGGCGGTGATTATGGTTCCAGACAGAGTGTTGTTGTACAAGGGAGAATAACTGATTACAAAAGGTATGATGCCCTGGATAAAACAGTACAATTAGCAATAAAAAACAGCAGCATCAAGAACATCCTAGCAACTGACAAAATGTGGTAACTACTGATTTGGTAACTTTAACTTTAGGAGCAAGATCTACAGTTATTTAACAAAGTCCAGCATAAATTAGGTACTTTGATGCTGGGAGTTTCCCCTTAGTAGAGTGATTTTACCCTGTGAGTGGGTGGGAGAAAATTTAAGAGTGATGGGGGAAAATAGAGAGTTGAAGAGAAATGTAGTAGAAGCAAGGCTGAAGGGCAAAAAATGGTCACCCAAACTTTGGGAAACTGGAGAAGAGGACAGGAGAGAAAGAATGAAGGAGAAAACAAATGAATATTAAAGCAAACCAGAAAGACTACAGACAATGTTCACTCACATGAATATATCAAAAAATCAGGAAAGATAGTTGAGGAAAGAGAAAAAAGATGAATATAACAAAACAAAACAATAAAAGTAAAAACCTAAAAGGCCAAAATACCCACTGAATTCCTCTGATCCCTTCAGTTTTGTGGCAGTGTCCAAGTCAGTTACCGAATCTGCTGAGTAACCTCTCAGTCCACAGTGGGCTTAGTGCTGGGTACAGAGCTGACCTTGGCCTCCGGATGCAGGGATGGGGGCCAGTCTCAGCCAGCAGCTTTCTGAGTGTCCCTTGGCAGACCACCCATGTCTCCTTACTCTATTTGTTTCTGTGTCACTCTTTCAGTTGCTTTGATGCCCTTCAACAGATACAGACTGAGGCTCCTCCCAGTCCGGTATACAGTCAGCCCCTCCTGGTCCTTGTACAGCTTTCTCTGTTCCACTCCTCTCTGCCTCTCTCCTCTCGTTGCTGGGAGAGAGGTGCGGGAAGTGCTGTCAGCCAGTGCACTGCCTCTGCTCTTTCCTGTTTTGTGCTGTTGGGAGTAGGGTTGGGGGAGGGCTGACTTCCTACTTGTCATACTGCAGTTTAAGGATGCTTAAGTCAGGGGCCACTGGGAGCAGGGCAGGAGGGGTGGTACTGTTCCACTTACTACCTTCACCCCGCCACCACAATCCCTAACCTTCTTGTCAATAGAAGTTTCAGTTAGCCACTATTGCGCACAAGAAAAAAAAAGACAAAAACCTGGCAGCCCATGGGGTGTGATGTGAAGAACAGATTCCTGGTTGCTCTCTTCTGTGTATGCTGGCAAAATTTGACATCAGGTAGCAATGTTCTCTGTTTGGAGAAAAGGCAAAAGAAGCAAGGGGCCTTATATCCCAAATTTATCCTGTGTTGCTTGAGTTTGCCACGGTATTGCAGTCTATCAGTTATTTGGGGACATCCAAGAGTGGCGGTTCCTACTCTGTATGCAGGCAGCTTTCCAATGTTCAGCCCTATGCAGGGCTGCTTTGCCATTTTATAAATTCATATGCCTATGTTTTGTTTGCTTTACAAGTCTCTTATTTCAGATTGATTTTGGCATCTGGATGTATGTCCTACCCTTTCTTCCAATTACCTGTGTTTTTAGATGATTTTCTCTGAGTTACTCCAACATGGATCCTCCTCTATTCAGACATATTGAATCTACTGGTTTTGATTTTTATGATGCAATTTTTTCTAGGAAAGTGTTCCCCTACAATGACACTCACTAAGATTAGGACACCTACCATAGAACCCTGCAGAAATGGTAGGACTGTCATGGAATTGGGTTCAGTCAGGAACAAAATGAGTAGTAGAGGTTTCTTCCAGCAAAGAATAGTGGTAAGACTAGAACGCCATCGCTCAGCAGCAGTTTTTGTTTTGTTTTGTTTTGTTTTTTACATTCATTTAAGAAACCACTTGGAAGTAGTCAAGAAAAAGATGCTCATTTAAAGCAGTGTTGTCTGGGTTTGGCCTCACTCCGCATTAACCTGGAGATGTTTAAATAATTCTGTTCCCTTGGTCCCAGGACAAAGCTTCTGATTTTATAGATTAGTTGAAACTTAGGATTGGAAGACCTTAAAAGCCCTTCCAGGAGATTTTAATGTGGATCCAGGGATCGGAAACATTGGTTTAGGCTTTGTGACTCATTATCCATGCATAATGTCCATATGTGCTGTGGAGATTTGCCCCATTGTAGTGTCTCAGTTTTGGGTCTTAGAAAACAACTTTGATTGGCTAAAATCATCTAAGGACAACCTCAAGATGTACCCATCTGAGAAAATTTCAGCAGGAGAAAATGTTTTCAGCAGATACTCCACATCTATTTATGTCACTTACTTTCAGAGGAAGATGTTTCAGGCACAGTAATTTGTTTTCTTGTGTGTTTGTTTGTTTGTGTTGGAAATGATAAATAGTGGGCAAATGCCAAAAAGGATGAAAAGAATTTACCTGCTTGTGGAGTCCATTACACATATTTTCAAATTTCTCCTATTACGTGGAAATGAAAAATATATTTTTGGTCCTCAGTTTCTTAAATTCAGTTATCAGCCATTTCCTCAGATTATTCCAGTGTGTTTCAGAAGAATTATTTTACAGGAGATCATTCCCAATGGTGAAGAGTACTAGATGAACACAAATCCTGCTTCTTGAATAAAAGTCACTGTCTAAGACCTAAGAGCAAAAAAAATTGCTTTTAGGAATTTGAGTTATGAGTGTTTGGGGTTTGGAGTCAGGCAGAGTTGATCCTGAGTCCTAGCGCAGCTGCTTAAGTTGTAAGGCTTTACACAAGTTCTTTGACTTGGAACAGTTGTGTAAGCTTCATCTATAAGGAAAAGCAGAATGCTACTGAATGAAAGCGTGTCAGCATTTCTTCTCCCTTTCCTGTATCCATGACCTTGGCAATATGTCTTATTGCTGTTCCCACAGAGATGCAGAATCTCTTCCCTAGACCATGGTTCTGGGCTGGTCTTATTTGCTATAGCCCATGTAAAATTCTATGAAATGTATTAGTTTGGTACCTAAGCTGGAAAGATCTCAAATATGTATACTTGTGGTTTGAGAACTCTGTTGTGTCCATGAGTACAAGCCCACTTTATCCTACCAAAGTGTGAAACATCAAGGGGAGGTGAGGGCTGGGGATTTAGCTCAGCGGCAAAGCGCCTGCCTGGCAAGCACAAGGTTGTGAGTTCGGTTCCCAGTACCGGAGAAAAACAAAACAAAACAAACAAAAAAAAAAAAAAAAAAAAAAAAGACAAGGGGAGGTGAAACAAGGTGCCCCTGTTTACAGCCAGCTCACCCTCTGAAACTGAGCCACCTTGTCAGCCATCAGTTAGCCAAACACACCAGCAGTCCAGCTAAGCCCAGCTTAAATGGTTGATCAGCCCATTCAGGAGACAATAAATTTTGGGATACCTTACTATCCAGTAATAGAGAACTAGTATGCCCAGGTTGTCAGGATTCAAGGACATGCAGATTATCTGTCAAATACTAGGTGGCATATAGGTAACATATTTCCTTTTCCCTTAATTTGAATTTGGGTGTCTTGTTAGATGGTGCTGTACATATATACAGAAATATATGTAGAGACAAGGAAATAAGACATCCACAGTATGATAGTTTGGTTCAAGGCCAAATTACAAAATAGGAAGTTTGTAAACTCTGGATGTTGAGGTTTTGGACAGATCTGAAAAGAAAGGTTTCCCCCTCCTGGTCTCACCTTCCTTTGTTAGCTGTTTGATCTCTGGAAGGGGGATGGTCTTATATCCAGCAGCAGATGGGAGGTAGTGGTCTTTTTCTTGCTATCTCTCAAGGCACTATCTCTGCCCATCTGTAGACCTGAGGAGATAGATATATTGGTAGGAAATGGGTAATCCTCTCCTCTGGCATAAAAGGAAAGGGCTCAGGTGCTTCACTTCACAGAGATCAGGGGAGACATGGCTTTCCAAGATGGAATGTGTGAGATGTGCTAGAGGCTTGAAATAGTTAAGAGTTTGCAAAAAAAAAAGTATACAAATTCAGGAAAAGGAAAACTTGTATAAATATTTAAATACTAAATTTATTGAGACATCATGAGATTAATACAAGTTACCTTTGGCCTCTACAGTTACAAGAGGTGCTCTAAGTGGTGGCCATTATCTTTTAGACATTTCTCAGTATAGAAAACTGCTGAAGTGTGTGCACATTTTAATGGACTTTCTATCTATACTTTATTAATAATTTTATATTGACCACATATAATATTTTGGGTGTATTGCACTGTTATTACAAAAATTTCACCTTTTAATATTTTAAATGTGAATTTAAAATTACACTTGTGTTTCACTTTTTTTTTTTTTTTCCGGGACCGGGAATCAAACTCACGACCTTGCCCTTGCCAGGCAGGCGCTGTGCCGCTGAGCTAAATCCCCAGCCCCTCACATTTTCTTTTTATTGGACATCACTGACTTACGGGATTGCCTGTCATTTCAAAGTTCAGGCTGTCTCAACAGATCACAGACCAGAGAAGTTAATTGAATTTTAACGTAATTGTCATTATATTCTTAATATAGTCAGTAGTCAATAATATAATAATATAGTCAACAATGCACACATACATAGTCCATAAATTGATATATATAACGTTAAATGCAAAGATCCCCTTGGTGAACTAAGTTCCCGCACTTGCAGGAGGGTCTGCCTTAAAACTGGGGCAGCCAAAAGCCCTGGGTTCAAGGTTCAGCACCAGAAAAAAAAAAAAAAGCAGCAGCCCCAAACCTGCATCCCGGCTTCAGCTGGCCCCGGGTTGGCGTAACCCGCTGGTGCTCAGGGCGTGAGGGGTGGGGCCTGGAGGCTGTCCAGTCAGAGGCAGCTACGCGAGGCCGGCCCAATCAGGCAAACAGCCAGAGCGGATGGGGCGGCCTTTCACAGTCTCGCGGGCCTTTGTGTGCAGCCCGCCAATCTTGGGATCCGTGTACCGGCTGCTTCTGCTGTACGCGGGGTCCTGCGCGTCCAGGTCCCCGCAGCAGCCTGTACAGTCCTGTTACTTGCAGGGGTGGGCGAGCCCCTGGGAGGACGCCGGCGACCCCGGACATGGTGAGCGTGCGGCCGGAGTCCAGGGACTGGGAGGGCGGCTGCTTGGAACCACGGGAACCGGCTCTGCAGGACCGGGCCTCCCCGAGGTGCGCTCCGTAGTCTGCAGGTCCGGGTCTGCTCTGGATCACTCGGCCTTGGTGTGCTCGGCTGCGGGCGACATCTGCGGCCCTGTCCCCCTCTCTTTGCGCGGTGACCTCTCTGGACAGCTGGGCCTCGGTGTCCTCGGCTGCGGGCGACATCTGCGGCCCTGTCCCCCTCTCTTTGCGCGGTGACCTCTCTGGACAGCTGGGCCTCGGTGTCCTCGGCTGCGGGCGACACCCAGGCCCCTGAGCCCGCCCTGCGCGGTGACTCTGCCCCCGCCGGGTGCCCCTTTGTCCCCCTCCACTCCCCAGGTTGCGTGGTGCGGACCACGAAAATCGTCGGGGGAATTCCGAGTCTGGGGTGGGGTTTCTGCGTTACAAGGGCCGTGGTCTTTAGGGTTCCCAGTTCCTCCTTCGTCCCCAAAGGTTGCGCGTTTTCCCCGGAGCTTTCTAAATGTATGGGAAGCAGGGTCTGAAGCCGAGAACTCTGTTCCCGGAGCTCTTCCTAGGTCTTATCAGAAACTCGAGAAATTCCAGCTCCCTGACCAAATTCTTAAAGGCCAAGTTCTCCTTTCCACAGCATTAGTTGTTCCTCCTGCAATTACTCGTTCCCCCTGCTATGTTTCAAAACACAGTATTTTGTTATTTTTTTCTCCAAGTAGTGGGTGGAGCTTTTAAAAACATTTGTTTTCTGTTTGTGAGCAGTTCGTGCGAGCGGAAAGTAGAAGGGGATCGCTTTACCCCTTGTAAAAAAAATTGTGGCTACGTTTCTCCTTTTGTCCAAAAGAATGTCTTTGGCTTAAGCTTCCCCCTTGGCGACTTTACGGGTAACATGTCCACAGCCTACCCTTCCACCTTTCTCTGGATCTGGATTTCAGAATTGCCCACGAGTGCTGTGTCCCTGGTCTCTTTTTTTTTGTTTTTTTGTTTGTTTGTTTGTTTTTCTCCGGTACCGGGAACCGAACTCACGACCTTGCGCTTGACAGGTCCCTGGTCTCTTGGAGCGTCTAGTTCTATCAGTCCCAATCCTGTGCTGCTAAACAGCCTGAGATGTGGGTGGAGCCTCTTTGGAGAACTGCTGGATGCCCTGAGGCCGGAAGGAATCTGGACTACCCTCCCGTAAAAGGCTTTTCAGCAGTTTCCATGTCTTCACTGCTGTAAATAGTGCTACAGTGAACTGAGAGTGCAGCCATCTCTTAAACATTCAGATTTCAATTCCTTTGGATGCATCTTATTTAGGATTGCTGGATCCTATGGTAGTTCTAGTTTTATTTCTTCGAACAGTCTTTACACGATGGCCAAAAAAGGCTACTGTAGTAACTTTACTGTAGTTACTGTAGTAACTGTAGTACTGTAGTACTACTGTAGTACTGTAGTACTGTAGTTACTGTAGTAACTTTAAATTCACATCAACAGTATGCTAGGTTCTTTTTTCCGTACCCATGTCCTTTGGAATACCTGGTGTTTTTTCAGTTTTTTAATAATGGTCATTGTAACAGTTGTGCTCAGGCTGAGGGACGTCTGCTATTTGCTGCATTGTATCCATCAAACAAATTAATTAGAATCTAGATTGTTGAGGAGCCACTGGAAGAGTATGTTGTTATCCTGTTCCAGAAATAAATGGGAATCTCTGCTTTTTAACCTCCCTTTCTCCACTACTGCTGGGGGTTGCAGCTCATGAAAGAGTTTGCACACTCATTGCAAGCCATTTACATGTGATGTAGGGAGGTTTGCACATGTCCAGTTCACTGTGCTTCCAGAGTGTGGAAGTTTAGGATACAATCCCTCAAATGGAAGAGGTTAAAGTTGCAGCACTCAGTGCATGGAGAGCCTCTTTCCAGGAGGAACTGATAGGCGGGAAGTTGTCCTCGGATCGAGCTGGAGGAGCGGAATTGGAAAGTGCTGATCTCCCACTCAAGGGAAAATTTGTAGTTTGTTGACACCCTGAACCTCCTGATGAGGGCTAGATAGAAACACAGCTGTCAGCAGCCAATAATCCCTTCTGCAGAGAAACTGATCTGTTGAGTTTGAACCCCTTCTCTGCCCTGACCCAGAGTGTGAAGCATGTGGAAGTACTTGCATGAACATAGAAAACAACCACTTGCTGTGGTCTTGAGACTTCTGTATGGCTTGTGGTCATGTTCCCTCTGCATTAGGTGAGCTGAGATCCAGACCACAGGGAGCTTTATAGAGTTAAGTGTATATGTCCCACTCCTGTCTTCAGGGTGATTCTGAGTACTGGAGATTCTTTCTCGGTTATATGGTATATTGTCTCAGGCAGGATTCATGCCTACACATGGCTTAGCTTTCCCTACTCATGTAATGTGGTTGTTTTTTTATTTCAGTTGTCTGGTGTTTTTTTTGTTTTGTTTTGTTTTGTTTTGTTTTGTTTTTTTCCTTTGCCTCCTGCTTCTTCTATGACACTCTCAGAGGGACTTGACACATAAGTAGATGTTTATTCCATGTGACCATAGGTGGAGGGAAGGTCAGGTCCTCCTATTACACTACATTTCCAACATTATCCCTTTTTAATAGCTGCTTTTTGGGGGCTGGGGTGGGTACTGGGGTTTGAACCCAGGGCCTTACACTTTGTGAACACATTCTACCACTGAACTATGCCCCTCACACCCAACATCTGTTTTTTGATTGTGTTTAATTCATTCACATTTAGTGCCATTGTTGATATGATTGGATATATAGTGGCCTTTTTGTTGCTTTTAACAATGCAAATACTTCTTATGTCGAATGGGTTAGGGTTAGGGTTAGTATGGGTTCATCTACAAATGGTGTTTGTATTGTGATCTCTCGATCTTTATTGCTGAAATATTATATGCACCTATTTATGGCAGGCAATGATAGCTACTCCTGTTGCTCTTGTAATTCAAATTTTTTTTTTTTTTGATATCAGGAATCAAACTTGGACCTTGGATTTGCCAGGCAGACGCTGTGCCAAATGAACTATATCCCCAGCCTTCTAATTCAGATGTTTCTTGGCTAACTTTGTATATATTTAGCCTATCATGTATTTTAGAATTTTTTGTCTTGCTCCATTTCCTTAAAACATGTTGAAATTTTGATAGGACAATGTAGATTAATTTTGGGAGGGACAGATGGTTATCTTTCTAATGATGAGTTTTATCTACACAGATGGTGTGTATAGTCTGATCTTTTATTCTCTGTAAATTCTTTGTTTTTTGAATGTTTTTTTTTGGCTTCTGGTTTTTTTTTTGGTTTTTTTTTTTTTTTGTCTTTTTGAGACAGGGTCTCGCTGTGCAGTTCAGGCCAGTGGTGAGGTCACTGTAGCCCAGGCTGGTCTCGACCTCGTAATGATCCTCAAGTTTACATAATTCTTTTGTAAAATGTATAAATGTACAATACCCCACATATATGGCATCTATATAGAAGTTATTTGGCATTTTGTACTATTGGTTGAGCTGGATAAAAGAGCTAGAATGTGGTGGCACATAGAAAGTGCCTTACACATTATTTGCTTTTTCTTGAGTGTGCCTCCTGTTACTCCTAATCCCTGGATTTCAGTACTTTGGATCATTGCTGCTATATTCTCATGTGTTACTATGGTATACAGGTGCAGAGGTTCTGTAAGTGTATGTATCATGTCATGACAACAACCAGTTTCCCCAGGTAGATAACAATTTATAACATCATGAGAGTTCAGTTGTTTCATGTCTTGATATTGTTTATTCTTGCCTATCTATTTATTCATCTCATTGTGAAAATTACTATCATTTTATAGCATACAGCTAGCATCACTGTATAATGACATTTTGGTCATCGATGGACTTCATATACAATGGTGGCTATACAGTGGTAGAGTGGACTGTGCCATTTAGGTTTGTGCATGTAGACTGATGTTTGCACAATTATGGTATCACCCAATGGTGTATTTCTCTGAAGTTATCCTTTTTGGTGAGATGTGATTGAATATATACATATGTATGTTACGATTTTAAAGTATATAGTTGATGTATGAATTTTCCTTATCAGAATTACCAGAGATTTTTCGTTTTCTTAGTCTGTTAAAAGAACTATCCTTTGTCAAGATGTGGTGGGACACATCTATAATCTCAGCTGCTGAGGAGGCTGAGGCAGGAGGACTGTGCGTTTGAGCCCAGCCTGGGCAACTAGCAAGGCTTACAATAAAAAAAGTCAGGAATGTAGCTTAATGTGAGGCCCTAGATTCAATCCCCAGTACAGGGTGGTGATGGGGTTGTTTATATTCTGTGCTATGTTCATTTTAAGAACTTTAAATGTTCCTCTTTCACCTCGAAGTTTTTTCTGCTACTTTCCTTTTTATTGCATTTTCCTTTTCTAAACTATTGAAACTGATGATTAGTTAACGAATTCTTAGTCTCCTTATTTTACCTGTTTTAAGAGTGTGTATTTCCTTTTTAACCACAGTTTTAGGTGGTTCCTACATTTTTTAAGAGCTTTATTGAGATATATATTTATTGAGGCATATATTGTATTTCAAGTATGTTTTTTATCTTGTGTATACATCCTTGAAAGCAGCACCACATTGAACATAATTAACATAGTTGATTATCCTGAAGTGTTTCCCAGTGCCCTTTTATCTTCTCTTTTCTACTTTTTAAAAGAAATTTATTAGTACATATTTGCAGTGCTTCATGATTCATCCATTGTGGGATATTGGTGCACACATACCACATCTCAATTTTCTCATCTTTTCTACCATTTTTTTTTATTAATTTTATTTTATTGAGAAAAACAACATCAGGATAAGCATCAAAATTTTATAGGTGAGTGAATTATCACAAAGGGAACAATGTATAACTAAGTACTGCCTACGTGAAGAAAGGAAATGTCAGTGATGGCCCAGAATAATTCATGCTTTTTATCATGTCAGTATCCCCTCCATTCTTCCTGGTGGCAACTACAGTTTTTCTGTTTCAGCTACTACTACTACTGTCAGACTATTCTTTTAGATTGTTTTGGTGCATTCTTTCTGCATAGGAGCAGAATTGATGGCTCATGGCATTTAAGTGAATATGTCCTACTGAAACATTTTCTGAAGTGACTCTACCAACTTAGACTCTGTGGGTAGCAGTTTGACAATCACTTGACATCTGTGTGATTCTTAGTCTGGTGGTTTTTTTTTTATGTTAGATTGTTTTTAACCTTTCTGGTGTGTGTGTAACAATATTTGCTGGTTTTAACTTTAATTGTAATTAGTATTGATTTTATATATTTATATATTTGTTTGTCATTTGAATGTCTATTGGTGAAATGTATGTTGAAATTGGTCTCTTGGATAGCCTCATTTTCTTTTGGGTTACCCGGGTTTTCCACAGAAATATGTAGTGCCTCATATTCTTCTGTACACGTAATTTCCCAGAAATGTGTACACAAATTTTCTACAAATGTATAATTTGTTTATTTTCTTGAAGAGTTTCTCCTATCTTTACTTCTGGTAGTTTCAAAATTTTGAGTCTTACATTAGGGTCTTTGATCCATTTGGAGTTGACGTTTGTGTAAGGTAAGCCATATGGTGAGCCATAATTTTGATCTACATGTGGATATCCAGCTTTCCCAGGATTGTTTGTTAAAGAGGTTTGCTTTTTTTTAAAAAAAAAGAAGAGGCTTTTTCTTTTCTTTTCTTTTCTTTTTTTTTTTTTTGCCTTTTTTTGAGAAAGGGTCTTACTATGCAGTGCAGGCTGGCCTTGAGCTCACTTTGTAGCCCAGGCTGGTGTCAAACTTGCAACGATCCTCCTGCCTCAGTCTCCTGAGTGCAGAGATTACAGGCGTGTGCCACCAGCTGTAGTGTAATAATTTTAAAAAATTTAACCATTCATGTTATATTTTGATTACCCTTTGTATTCCATTGATTTATATGTCTGTTTTTATGCCAGTAACATGCTGTTTTTGTTACTGTGGCTGTGTAGTATATTTTGAAATAAGGTATTGTGACACCTCCATTCTTGCTTTTTTGTTCTTGTTGTTCAGAATTGCTTTGGCTATTTGAGGTCTTTAATTCTATGATGAATGTCACTGGTTGCCTTTTTTTTTTTTTTGAGTCAGTGTCTTGCTTAGTAGTTTAAGCTAGCCTTGATTTCGCAATGATCCTCCTGCCCCAGCCTCCCAAGTGCTGGGATAACAGGCATGGTTCGCCACCATACCCAGCCTCTTTGTTTATTTTGAGATAGAGTCTTGCTAATTTGCACAGGCTGGTCTTGCATTTACATTTCCCTTGAATTAACTTCCTGAATAGCTGGGGTTACTGGAGTACATTACAGTGTCAGGGTCTTTGATGATATTTATATGCTGTATTGCATCTGTTGATTTACATATGTTGAACTATTTTTGTATTCCTAGAATGAAACCAAATTGCTTATGTGTTGTGGTTTGTGTCTAGATGTCACCCCAAGCCTCATGTGGTCATAGGACTTTATCAGAAGTAGATGAATCTAGAGTGTGTGATGCTGGGATTAAGGGTATGTGATTATTAGTAAATCAATCCACTGATAGTTTTGACATAGTTCTGGCTAGGATTAAGGGTGTGAGTGCTACACTTGCCCTAGGGCAGGTGGCCTACACACAGTATAGGGATAGAAAGAGTTGTCTCTCCCCTTGTTGCTTTTACTGTCTTGTAGGTGCCATGAACTGTTCTTTTTGGTGACCCTGTGCATGTGTCGCTGTCTCAGAGCCAGGCAACTATGGGCTGAAAACTCTACAAAATGTGAGCTAAATAAATCTTTCCTCCCTTAACTTTAGGTGGCAGGTATTTTGTCTCAGCAACAAGAAAATAACTTAAGACATTATGGTATATGATGTTTTTTTCTTTTTCTTTTTTTTTTTTTTTTTTGGTTTTTCTCCGGTACCGGCAACCGAACCCACGACCTTGCGCTTGCCAGGCAGGCGCTTTGCCGCTGAGCTAAATCCCCAGCCCTGGGTATATGATCTTTTTAATGTGTTCTTAGATTTGACTTGCAGATAATTTTTTTTTTAAGATTTTGCCACTATGTTCATCAAGGATATTGGTGTATAGTTTTCTCTTTTCTCTTAACAGATTTTGGTATGAGAGCAATGCAGGGTTAGAAAGAGTTTTGAAGGACTCCTTTTTTTTTTTTTTACTTTATGTAGTAGTTTGAGGAACATTGGTTTTATTCAGTTCTTTTTTGAGTCCAGTGAAAGTAATTAGTGAAACCATCTCATTTAGGGCTTTTCTTTTTGGAAACTTTCTATTACTGATACACTTTCATTGTCTTTTATAGAATAATTTAGGTTTTTTTAATCTTTTCATTCAATTTTGGTAGGGTGTATGTATCTATAAATTTGTTTTTTTCTAGATTTCCAATGTATTGGTATACAGTATAGTTTTCCAAAATATCCTCTAATGATTCTATGAATTCCAGTAGTATCTGTATTATCCCTTACATCATTATTTATTTTATTTATTTATTTGGATCTTCTCACTTGGTTTCGTTTATCCAAGGGTTTGTTAACTATGTCTTTTCAAAGTGTTAGGAAAACAAAAAGAAGAAAAAGAGGTCTGAGCTCAATAAGACAGAGAGGGTCTGTCTCTCAGTCAATATTGAGAGGTACTGCTCTGCAACTAGAGACCAGACCAACTGCTCTTGTACTGGATATGGGGTCTTTTGTAAGGTCATGGGGAGGAGGGAGTTCAGTGAGGGGAGTGGTGGCTCCTATCCATAGCAGGGTTGATAGTGTTAAGAGTCCCCAGGTGCAGCTGTTCTGGGACGGGGAAGTTTAGAGGTGTCTCTGATCAGCAAGGCAATGGTTGGACTCCTTCGCAAAGGCCCAGTTGTGTTGCATAGAATATTTGTATTCTTGTGTATTTTATTTTTGCTCTGATCCTTATTTTTTTTTTCCATTTTTGATTTTTGGCTATAATTTGTCCTTGTTTTTCTAAGAGCTTGAGATGCATCCTTATTTATTTGAGAGTACTTTTTCATGTAGACATTAATAGCTTTTGCTTTTTCTATTTTCATTTAGTTCTGGGAAGTTTTAAGTTTCCCCTTTGCTTTCTTCAGTGAGTCCTTGCTGGTTCACTAGTGTAATGTTGTATGGGAACATAAGTCAGTGATAAGAGCACATGCGAGCATGGACCAGGCTTTAGTTAAAAAACAAAACCCAACACGTAACATGAACAAAACCCAAAAAGTGTATTGTTCTGTCTCCATTTGTTTGTGTAGTTTCTCTAATCACCCTTGCTGTTGATTTCTAGGTTCATTTCATAAAAGAAGTTGTTTTTCTAAAAAGTTGTTAAGAATTGATTTGTGTTCTAATAGAAGATCTGTTTTAGAAACTGTTCCATGTACTTTGGAAGAATGTGGTTTGAAGCTGTTGGATGGAATACTTTTTTGGTACCTGTTGAGCCCATTTGATCAGTGGTTTAACCTTGATGTTTCTTTGTGACTTTTTTTTTGTCTGTGTAAGGGTCGTGACACTCGCCGCGTGAAGGAAGACTCCAAGAGACGCTCTCTCATGCAAAAAGCAAGGGGATTTTTATTTACCAGGCATGCATGGGGCTCACTGAACTCGCAGGAACAGAGAGCCCCGAGCCAGGTTAGCTCTGGCTTTTTAACCCGAAAAACCACAAAGGAGGGGAGTTGGAAGCGTCACTATAGAAGCAGATAGCATTGGTTAGTTCATATTGTTCTTTACACTTAATGGTTCCCTATGACGGGGGTGTGTGTGTGTGTGTGTGTGTGTGTGTGTGTGTGTGCAGAAATGCGGAGGTCTTCCGCTCATGGACAGAGGAGGGGAAGGCGCTCTGTGTCAACACAAGATGTTCTTTCTCCCAAGGACAGGATATAATGTCTGGACATTCCCAGCACCTCCTTTCCGGGCACTCTCATGCTGCTTATCTATGGGTCAGAAGCCAGCTGGTTTTTACAAAAATCTTTACTTTTACATTTTTATATCTGGATGATTTGTCAGTGTGAGTTGAGTATTAAAATTACCCACTATTATTGTGCTGGAGCTTGTGTCTCCATTTCCTCTTTTTTTTTTTTGGTACTGCGAATCGAATTCATGACCTCAGGCTTGCCAGGCAAGCACTTAAGCTGCCAAGCTATATCCCCTGCCCTCCCTTTCCTCTCTTTATGTCCAGTACTATTTGAGTGTTTTAAACTATATATATCTTCTTGATGTACTTCACTTTATCACAATGTAGTGACCATCTTTGTCTCTCCTGATTTTGTCAATAAAGCTGTTCCTGTTTGCTTTCAGATTCTATTTGCTTAGAATATTAGTTTCCAATCTTTCACTTTTAGTCTGTATATGTCTTTACTGGTGAGGTGAATTTTTGTTTTAGATATTGAATTGCTGGGTCGTCCAGTAAGTCTGTCTTTTAATAGAGAACTAACATCATTTACACCCAGAGTCATTACTGAAAACTGTACTAGGTATTATTTTTGTTCACAGTGTGTTAAATGATCTATGTTTATTTTTCTTCTCTGTTTATGTTAAGAGTTTTGGTGGTTTACTGAATTAATCACATTTTTTTTTTCCTAGTTTTCATTTACTTAGGTATTCTTCCAGTGAGGTTTATTCTTTCTGATGCTACTGTTTTGTGTTTATCTTACTTCTTGTTCTATGTGTAGGATTTCTTTTAGTAACTTGTACAATGCTAATTTAATGCAGTGATTCCAGCAGTTTATGCTTATGCTTATCTTGGAATGTCTTTATTTCTCCTTTGATTCTAAAGGATGACTTTGGAGGTAATAAACTAGGTTGACATTTATTTTCTTTTGTAACATGAAATATAGCATTGCCTGCCTTCTTGGCCTTTACAGCTTCTATTCTGATGAGTTTGCTTTTGTAATTGACTTGATGCTTCTCTCTTACAATTTCTCCTCTGTGTTCTATACTTCTGGCAGTTTAATGTAACCTGTCATGGAGAGGTTCTTTTCTGATCATGTCTATTTGAAGTTCTAAGTACTTCCTGTATCTGGAGATTCATATTTTGCCAGTGTTTAGGAAATATTCTGTTATTATGTCAATGAATAGGTTTTCGGTGCTTTTAGTTTGTCTCCCTTATATATTCTAATTCTATGTATATTTGGTCTTTTAATGGTGTCCTATAGATTTTTGCTTGTTTTTATTTTTTGAGACAGGGTCTTGCTTTGTAGCCCAGGCTGGCCTGAAACTTAGAAGGATCCTTGTGCCCCAGCCTCCAAAGTGCTGGGATTACAGGCATGCACCCATGCACCACCACACCTGGCTTATAGATCTTGAATATTATGCTTATTCTTTTTTTTCTGTATTACGGTCTGAATGTGATTATTTTTCCACCTGACCTTGAAACCCTGATATTTCTTCCACTTTATGTAGTCTCCTAAGTTTTTCAACTATGTCTTCTATTTGACTTAGTGAGTTTTTCATTTCTAAGATTTTTGTTTGGTTCTTTTTCAGACTGTATCTCATCATTGAATTTCTCTTTTATAGCCTGCGTTGTCTTCCTAATTCATTTAGCAGTTTATCTGTATTCTCTTTGAATTCATTGTCATTTTAATCATTCTTTTGCATTCTGTGGTATTTTATCCAGTTTGGTATCAGAGAGTTACAAACTTTTGTAGGTCTCATGTTTTCTTTTTTTTTGTATTTCTGTGTTCAGATTTGTGCTTCTGTTGGGATGGCTATTGCTCCCCTTTTTACTGTGAGCCTTCACAGTTAGGAGTTTGTGGTTGAGACTGTGCCCTGCGATATCGTTCAGATGCATAATGTTGAGTTGCCATAAGAGTTGGATTTTATAGTGTAATTGCCCTGTGGTTCATGGGTTTTGACACCTGCTTTCTTTATGGATGTTGCATGAGTGGAGTCCTGCTGGTAGTTTCAGCAGATGTGAGATGATGTAGACAGAAAATATGACCTGTACCCTCCACGGTTACTTCACTGGATCTGTCAGTGACATGCAGTCTGCTAGTGTATGGAGCAACCTGTGTTGAGGTAGGTCTGTTGTAATTGTGGTTTTTCCACAACCTTTGTGTTATTTTTACTGTTTCTATGGATGTCAATGTTTAAGATCTAGTCTTTTGGTTTCACTTGATTGTTCCTGCTTGGAGCTAGCTGGGAGGTTTTATTTCCTTTATTTAAGTTGAAGGATTTGATAAGGTTAAAGTGGGGCTAGGTCTTAGGTGGATCAAGGTGCCATTTCTCTCAGTTGGGCTAGGAATGTAGCTGAGCAATAGCAGATCATCCACCCAACATGCTAGCAGTGTTGGGCTTGACACTGTGTAGAAAGGGGAAGACAAAGAAGAAATAAAGGCTTTAATGGCTTGTATTTAGAGCCCCACCCCGCCAGCCTCATGTGCTTAGAGGTGGCTGAATCAAGGTGTGTGATACTGGGTGTGTGACATCTGGATTGGTCTCCTAATTGGATTAGCATAGTTATGGGTATGGCTGAATGGATGTACTGAAGAGGGAACCCATACCCTTGGAATGGGTGTCACCCCAAAAAGGCTTGTAGCCTAGAGGACATAAAAGGGGAAGGGAGCTGCTTGCTGCTGCCTCCTGGCTGCATGCCATAAACTTTCTCCTCTCTGATGCCCCTCTGCCATGTTGCCCTGTCTTGGAGCGGACTATGGACTGAAACCTCTACAAACTGAGAGCTAAAATGAACGTTTTCTCCTGTAACTTGTAGGTGTTAGGTATTTTGTCCCAGTAATAAGAAAAGTAACTAAGAGAAAAGCAGAACATAACAAAGAAACAAAGTTCTGAAAAACTACCACAGTCTCCAAAGCACCAAAAACAGTACAAGACAAACTAAAAAGTTTCAAAAAAATTAAAGAATGGGGGGGAGTGTGCAATTTAAAGTCAAAAAGAGAAAAAAAGAAGAGAATACAGAGAAAGTAGGAATAATGTAATAAGTAAAATAAAAAGCAAAAAGAAAAATTAGATATTAAATAAAAACAAAAATGTATATTTAAAAGCAAAATAACATCAGAAATCTTTTTGAGGAACCACCATACTAATTTCCAAAGTGGTTGTACTAGTTTATATTCCCACCAGCAGTGTAAAGCCCCACCCCCACAGCATTTGTCATTATTTGAGTTCCTGATGATGGTCATTCTTTCTGGAGTAAGAGGGAATCTTACATCTTAGTTTGCGTTTCTTTAATGGCCAGTGATGTTGAGCATTTCTTCATGATTTATTGGCCATTTGTACTTCTAGGGAGTCTCTATTCATTTCACTTGCCCACTTTTTCATTGGGTCTCTTACTGGGAGGCGGTCTAATTATTTTTAGTTCTTTGTGTATCAGTCTTCTGAGGTATAGCTGACAAATTTTTATTTCTTCATTGTAGATTCTGCAGTGTAGATTGTCTTTTTACTCAATGTAGGGAAGAATGAAGCCCAAGATGGGGTACGATAGTTCAGGCTGTGAAAGGGAAGGGAGGTCCTGGGGGACAGTAAGTCTTGAGTCAGCAGGACTCTGGTGCAGGTGCGCTTCTCCTTGTCAATGTAAAATAAACTATATATCCACTCACCCATATAAGGTCTGATATTGGCAGGTAGCCACTATTTTGTATGCTTCTGTAAATCTGGACTGTTACAAGAATTGTCAGGTAGTAATTGAGGATGGCTGCAAGAGTGTGTGCGGTGCCTGGGAGCAGCTAGGCACAGCTGGTCTATGCCGCTATGCTGCTGAGCAGCTGAATAAAAGCGTATCAGACATGCTCTTTTCTGGGCTGCCTGAATCTCAGGTGAACCTCCCCTTTTGGGACTGGTGACAGGACACTCCTCTGGCTGTTCTTTTTTTTTTTGCTGTGCAAAAGTATTTAAATTTGATACGATCCCATTTGTTGATTCTTGGGTACTATTTCTTGTAAAACTGGGGTTCTGTTCAGAAAATCCTTGCCTATTTGAAGAGTTTTACTTCTTTTTTTGTACTGGAAATCGAATTCAGGACCTTGCACTTGCCAGGCAGGCATTTGTGCTGCCGAGGTACATCCCCCCTCAAGAGTTTTACTTATTTTGTCTTCCAATGCATTGTTTCAGTTTTAACATTTAGTTCTTTGATCCATTTTTATTTTAGTTTAGTACATGGTGAGAAATAAAGGTCTAGATTCAATCTTCTGCATGTGAATAGCCAGTTTTCCCACAACCATTTATTAAAGAAGCTAACTGAAATTAGAAATTCCATTTGAGGGCTGGGGATTTAGCTCAGCGGCACAGCGCCTGCCTGGCAAGCACAAGGTCATGAGCTTGCTTCCCGGTACCGGGGAAAAAAAAAAAAAAAAGAAATTCCATTTGATCCAGGTATTCCCCTTGTAGGTATCTTCCCCAAAGCGTTAAACATGTCTTATTATAATGATACCCTGATACCACTCGTGTATAGCCACACAACTCTAAATAGCTACATCTTGGAAATGGCATATATGTCCATCAGTAGAAGAATGGATAAAGAGAAAATGTTGTTTATACAAAATGGAATAATATTCTGCCATAAAGAAAAGTGAGTCATTTGTAGGAAAATGGATGCACTTGAGACCATAATATTAAGTGAAATACTAGACTCACAGGCTTAAATATCCCATGGTTTCTCTTATAAGAAACCCAAAGTATAAGTAAAGAACAAAATAAAAGATAGATAATAGCAAGTAGAGAGATAGAGTGTTCTCCAAGGGGAAGGAGATAAAGAGATGGAGGGAGGTGAGAAGGAGGGGAGAGAAAGGGGATGAAAAAAGAAATGATGTGTTATGCACATGAACCAATTTTCCTCCAAGGAATGTAAACATTATGTAAAACAAATATGTACTAATAAAAAAAAGTCTTCCTGAAAAATAAAAATTTCCTCTCTTCCAAAATTGTTGACCTCTAGGCAAGAGTGGATGTTCACAACCCACATGGATCAGAGCTTCTGTTTCTTTTTAGGTGGTGTGCTGCAAAAGGCTATAGGTTGTTCATCCCTTTCTTTTTTTTTTTTTTTTTTGTCTTTTTAAGACAGAGTCTCCTTACACAGTTCATGCTGTCCTTGAGCTCACTTTGTAGCCTAGGCTGGTCTCCAACTTGCAGTGATCCTCCTGCCTCAGCCTCTGGAGTGCTGGGATTACAGGCATGTGCCACCACACTCAGTTCTTTTGCTTCTGTTACTTACCCAGCAACCATTGGGAGTGGTCCATGACCAGAGAGCCAGGTGAAGTATCTCAGTTGCTCTATGTGCCAGTACGAGGTAGGGAGGAAGTCAGAGTTTCTCCTGCAGATTTTTTTTGTGCCACCCTCAGGGAAGAGCTGGTGATGGTTGCTGCAGGTCGGAGTCCCTGGAGCCTTTTGTGCTGCTCACTTGGAGGATGTGAAAATTCTGTAGAATTGTACTGATTGTGCTTAAAGAAGTTTAGCTGGGGGCTCTGGTCTTCAGAGACCTAGCTCCAAATTGTGTTCCCCTGAAATCCTGCAGCTGGCTTCCTGAACTATTGTTTTTAAAGAAGTAACATCCATTCCCCCAGAGGTCACAGACTTGCTTGCAGTAAGTGTGCATTAACATTGCTGCAAAGCTCCTGAAGACAGGAAAATGCAGTACCCTTTGACTCCCAAAACAATGAGCTCAGAAAATCTCAAAATGGGTCCACAGTATAGTGCATGAGCATCCACAGCATGTTCAGAAAGCTTCTCCAGAGTGTGTTTGCTCTGTAGACCTGGTTCTACTGTCTGCTCAGACTGCCTTTTTGCTTACTACTGAATCTGTAGTAGTGTGCTCACTTGGATTCTCCCTTCATCTCTACCCTGCCCTCCTACATCAAAGTAGGTACTGAGGCGTTCTGTCTGCTTTGCTCTATTATTTAAGCTCTCTCTGGGTTTCCCCAGGTTTGAATCCAGCATTTTCACAGGCACCCATTTGGATAAAGCAGCTGCTCTCCAGGTGTTTTGCTTCTGTCTCATAGAAAAGTGGGTGAGTGCTGGGTTCCTCTGAAATGCAATGTCGGTTTCTCTACTACCTTCTTAATATGTTTCCATTACTTTTATCATTTATGAGAAATATCCTTTTAATGTTCACTCTATTTGGGTCCTTATATTCATTTTTATATGAATTCTAGGTCGGATAAAGTGGGGGTAAAATTAGGCTTTATTACTTAACGTTTTATAAAATATTATTATGAAAGAAGGTAAATACTGCTCTCATAGATTATTTTGGGATTGATGCATTAAGATTTTGTTAAAGCTTGTGTCTCGATATACCCACGGAGTCTCAGAGGCTGAATGTAGAATGTGTGACACTGATTCATGGTGCAATGCTAGGATCAAGGGCACTAGGATTAAGGTGAGTGCTACTCACCCTAAGGCTGGGTAACCTGGATAAGATACAAGGGACAGAAAGAGCTGTGGTAATGCCTTGCTCGCTTTGCTACTTTCTGCCCACCATAAGTTGTTTCTCCTCTGTGATGCCAGTCTGCCACTCTGCCTTGGAGCCAGCCAATTATAGACTGAAACCTCTACGAACTGTGAATTAAATAAACCTTTCCTCCTTTAACTTTGGGTGTCAGGTATTTTATCTCAGCAACACAGATATAAAAGACTGTTAGAGCGACTTGTAGTTTACTTTAAATGATCAGAAATTATTGTTGTTGCTATAATTGCCTGATGATTTTCTTGTTGGTTTTTGTTCTTTGAGATAGGGTCTAGCTATGCAATTCAGGCTGGCCTTGAACTCACTATGTAGTACAGGCTGGACTCAGACTTGTGGCAGTCCTCCTTTCTCAGCTTATTGAGTGCTGGGATTATAGGCATGTGCCACCAGGCCCAGCTGCGTAATGACTCTTTAAGAGTGTCGGTTGGACTCGGTACTACTATCACTGGTGAGTTTGTATTTAATTGAGAAATCCAGGCCCCAATCCAGAAGTACTTACTTGGAGTCTGAATTTTGATAAGATCTCAAATTCTTGGTTGTACCCATTAAAATTTTAGTACCCTTGGAACTCACCATAGCTTTAGCATCTGATTAAAATTATATAATTTATTGTATAAAATATAAATATAGGGCCGGGGATATAGTTCAGTGACATAGCGCCTGCCTAGCAAGCGCAAGGTCCTGAGTTTGATTCCCAGTACCTCACCCCCCCAAAAATATGGCACTTAAAGTTTGTATTTCTGTGTTGATACCTTAATTTTACACTTCATATTACATGAAAGTGTAGTACTATCACATCTTCAGTGAGGATGAATCATATCTTCCCTGGAGTTCTTAAATTTTATACAAATAAAAAATTAGAGATACAAGTTTAGAAGAGAGAAAAAGCTACCTTATTGGAAAGAGGAGAGAAGTGAGGAGATAGACAGCTGCCTCGTCAGAGTGAGGGAGCTTGAGGGTCTTTGTTCTTAGCCGCTTTTATTATATGGCAAGAAAGGGACTCTACTCCTAGAGAGTTGTTCCTGGTGTCCCTTTCCGTTGTCTATGTGCAACTTGTTGGGTAAGCTCCTTTTGGTCTTCTTTGTTTTGACGTGGTGATACCTGATATTTATAGCAGAACCTCACATTCAAGGCCAAGTTAGCAATTAATAAAGGGATATGTGGACATTTTAGTATATTAACGTGGTGAGAGAATAATATATATGTAGGTATGTGAGTGTCCTGGTGTGAGTATATATTTTACATACTGGGTTGTGTATAATGCGGTGCTTTCTCCAGCTTGCCTCCTAACTTAACTGGAGGTGGAGAGGATTGAATTGCGACTCTGGTGCCCAGGTAATATTAGTTTTCCCTGCTTGTCTTAATTGTTCCCTCTAGCAGGGGTTTAACACTTTCCAGTCAGGATTTGCCGTAAACCTCACTAAGGCCCTTATCCTTCCCTTTCTGTACCCCAGCTTTCCTTACAGTGTTTACATTGATTTTTGTGGATCTCATATCACTTGCTTTCCTTAGATTATAAATTAGAGAACATCACCGTGTTAACTGTGTCAGAACTATAACTCTCTAAGCTCTCTCATTCATCTTGGGTCACATTAAGAGCTCTGTCAATGTCCATATGGTCAGTGTGCTCTTTGTTTGTTTATATATGTATTTATTTATTTTTCAGGAACTATTGACATTCAGAGATGTGGCCATTGATTTCTCTCCAGAGGAGTGGGAATGCCTGGACCCTGCCCAGTGGAATTTATATAGGGACGTGATGTTAGAGAACTACAGAAACCTGGTCTCCCTGGGTGAGGATAATGTGCAGAGAATTCTTGATGCACTAACAACATTAGTTTACTTTACAGAGCATCTCTTAGGTGTTTTTGCTTTGCATGAATCATTTTCAGATTCTTACTTTCAAGGAAAAAAATTGGAGATGTATACTTGAAAATGTTTCTATTCTTGTTTTAACCTTCTCCTTTCTTGTGATAATGTACAACCTTCACTTAAGACTAGTGGTAATTACAGAAATCCAGTGCTATATGGCATACATCGTATAGTCCCCATTTTTCCCCTTTATCTTTGATTTGATACTAGTTGGAAGTGAGCTCATAGCGTGCAAATTGATGGGTCTGTCAGGAGACAAAATTTGGAAAAGTACTTTTCCAAAATCTTTTGATACTTTTCTAGTACTAAGCAAAGTATGGGTTAGAAGTGTCTCAAGCAAGCACTGTGTTCTATCTTTCAACAAATAGGTCTTGCTATATCTAAGCCATATCTGGTCACCTTTCTGGAGCAAAGGAAGGAGCTTTGGAATATGGAAAGAGAAGAAATAGTAGCCATTTCCCCAGGTAGGTAGGAACAGAAAACACAGGTAAGGTGTCCAAATGTTAAAGAGGAAGCCAGACTTTAAAATGTCAGTTGAACTGGGCGTGGTTGTGAATGTCTATAATCCCAGCATTCAGGAGTCTGAGGCAGGAAGCTTGTGAGTTTGAAGGCTAGCCCTATCTCAGAAAACTAGAGATGGGTGCTTGGTTTGAGAAAATCTGTTCCAATGGAAATGATTTTTTAGAAGCCTAGGTTTAGTTCTCTTTCTATCCCAGAAGGGAGGGCATTTCTTGCCCTATGTTTATCATTCTTTAAAAACCTCCAAGGCTCCTCCTCCCCACACATTTACAGTGATAGGTAAATCCCTTCCATTTACCTTTGAGAGTCTGCATGCTGGCTACTTTTTCATTGCTGTGCACATTTCAAAAGACCTCTGTGCGAAGACAAAGAAGTTTCCCTGATATTGTCTAAAATACTCATTCATTAAAATTGTTTCATCAGAGCTCTTTATGAATGGTTATAATGGACTTTCTGTGAAATTTTTCTGCCCTTGATCCTAGCATTGCACCATGAATCAGTGTCACACATTCTACATTCAGCCTCCTCTGAAAAAGTCCCACCTATGACCACATGAGGCTCTGGGGGTGCATTCTGCTGTATACTGAATGTTAATGATACAGAATGTCTTTACTCAATGGGTATTATATAGTCACAACTGAAAAGTATAGTTATTAGAAAGACTTTAAAAATAGTACACATATATTTATTCAGGATCTTATGGGTTAAAGTTTTTTTCTTCTTGTTTTGCAATTTGTTTTTCTGTCTCATTTTTAAAGGTAGGTTCCTTCACATCAGTTATTGTTTTTTTATGTATATATATATATAATTTTTATTTTTATTTTTTGGTACCGGGAATCAAACTCAGGACCTTGTGCTTACGAGGCAGATGCTTGTGCCACTGAGCTGTATTCCTGGCCCTATGTATATATTGAATGGATAGCAGTTTTCAATATTGTGCACTTTTGGCAGTGGAAGGTGAAATTCAAATATGTATAAGCCATGTATCTATTGCCAGTAAAACTGTATATGTTTTTATTTGCATGCAAAACTATTACTACTGTTTTTGTTCATGACATATTTTCTGTGTTGATTTGTGTTGAGTAGTTTCATTGTACTTGAATATTCATGGAAATTATTAATGAATTAATTTCCTTGTCTAAGAAGAATACCTAAGATTTAGAGGTAGCTTTTCAACATTTTTGTACTTGTGGTCAAAACCCCATAAAATAAAATATACTCTCAAGTATTTTTAAGTGTACTATTCGGAATTATTCAGTACATTCAGGTAGTTACATAACATATCAGTATAAAGCTGTCATCTTGCACAACTAAAATTCAATACCCATGAAAAGTAAATGCCCTTTTCTCTCTTTGCTCTCCCGGTTGCAAACACCATTCTGCTTTCTGTTCTACATGTTTCACTGCTTTAGATGTGGAGGTAGAGTCACATAGTACCTGTCTGTTTGTGAGTGGCTTATTTCACTTAGAATAACATCCTCAAGATTAATCATTATTCTGGATGTTAGAAAATTTGTTACCTTTTTAATGGTTGAATAGTATTGTAAATTGCCTTCATCCATTCATGGAAAGGAACATTTAAGTTGCTTCTACCTATTGGCTGTTGTAAATAATGTTGCAGTGCACATCAGTGTATGAATATATGTAGACTTGTCCATACATGTGAGGATTTGTTACTGTACTCTGTATTCTGTTTAACTTCATGTCAGCATTAAACTATTTCAATTACAGTACTTTATTATGTTTTGAAATCTACTTTTATTTATTATGGTTAGAAAAGAACTTAATATTTTAAGATCTATTGTGCTTCAGCAGTTGGTTTGTTCAATATATAACAAGTTGTTAAGATTGTGTATGTAGGTCTAGTTGGTTTATGTTTTTCATAGTCCTCTGTTTCCTGTTACAATTCTGTCAGGCTTTATTTTGCTTTATTGTACCTGAGGAATTGACATCCTGCTCTTGTGTCACTTCATATTTATTCAATTCTGTCAATATTTGCTTCTTATATTAGAGACATGCTATGTGAGTTACATATATATATATATAATTGTTAAAGTATCCTAGAAAGTCATCCCTTTTATCATTATTAATTTTCATCTCATTAAAGTTTTGAACTTAAAGTGTATTTCATTTCATATCACTGTGACTCTATTTTGTATAATTATGGTGAACTCTCCTTCTTTTGTTTTGCAAGTAATATCATTTCCAACTTTTCTCTTTTAGCCTGTTTGTTCTTACATATAAAAAGTCTGTAGACAGCACATACAATGGACCCTTGCACTCAATTCGTGTGCAAGGGCTGGTTGTAACTGAAGTTGGTTGTAAGTCAAGACTATTTTTCCCATGAGAAATAATAGAAATACCCATAATGTGTTCTGAACCTCTCAAAACACCCTTAACTAACCATTATATATATATATATATATATAAATTTTTTTCTTTGTTTTTGGTACTGGGAATTGAATTCATGAGCTTGTACTTGCCAGGCAGGAGTTGAGCTGCTGAGCTAAATCCCTAGCCTTTTTTTTTTTTTTTCATAATATAAAAGGGTTGTATAATATGCATAATTTACCAGAAACACAAATAAAATTCCTAGTGTATTCACCAAAAAGTTATAAAATGTGCCTAGTTTACCAGAAACAATAATTTCGTATTGTACTCACCATTGAAGTTGACATCTTTGTCTTGCAGGAAGGGAGGATGAAATGGAAGTTGGTTATTGTTTGAAAGGAGAGTCCCCTTCCATAAGAACATCAGGAATCTGGCTCTCTGGTGTCATTTCTGTCCTTGGGAGAGTCTGTATCCCACTAAGACCTGCTTCTGGCTCAGTAAATCTCAACCTTTTCCGAACTAAAAGCTGGTCTAAGGTTGTCTGTTTCCATCTTTTCTTTAGTACTGTTCTGTAGTATGACATGACATTGTCATTAAGCAGATAAATGCAACAGTTGACTATTTCTCTGTTGGGATGGGTCTTCTCTACAAATGTTTGTAGCTCTGTCCATTATTTAAGGATTTCCTTTATTTCAGAAGAACTTTGCTGAACTGATTGTTGCTATTCTCCCTCCAATTCAAAAAGCTCCTCAGTTGCTCTTCTGTTTCTTAGCCAGAAGTTGCTGAAATTCCTCTGTAGACAGTTCTCTGAGTGTCCCAACATCACTACAAGCCTATGGACTCTGCTATAGTGATATGTAATCAACCACAGAGTCAGTTTACGGCTACAGCTCTTCTCCACAGCCTTCATAGTCTTTCCTGTGTAATTTTAGGCCACACTTTCTTCCAGGCAGATCTCAGTGTCCTTCGAGAGGATTGGCTCAGGATTTCTTAACCCTACACAGGAAAGGATGTTATAGTGTTCCCTCCCAAACTCTTAAGGGTGAAATTTGTATATAACATCATCTGGAAACACTTCAGGAACAGTTCCTTGGTGTATAGCTTCTTAAAGTTAGCTGTAACCTACGGGTCCATAGGCTGCAGTAGAGGAGTTGTCTTATGTGGGAGGAACTTGACTGAGAGCCATTAGAATTCTTTAGCCAATTTTTCTAACAAATCTTGTGGGTCAGCATGAACACTGTCCATGATGAGAGCCTTGAGTGGTAAACTTTTGTGTTCTGGATATTTCTTACTAGTAGGACAGATAGCTTCCCTTGATCCACTCACGAAGAAGTACTCTTGTTACCCAGGCTTTTATTTTAGATCTCCACATGACCCCTAAGCCTATTCTTTATGACTTTGTTTTCTGAGCATTCTAGGGGTCTCAGAGCAAGACAGAGTTTATCTTGAGGTCACCACTCACGTTGGCACATAGCAGTAAGGTAGGCCTATCCTTCATAGGCTTGTGACCTGGCATTTCCTTCTCTTACTGGGTAATGTATGTTCTCCTGGGCATTTTGATCCAGAAAAGGCTAGTTTCATCACAGTTGAAAACTTGGTGAGAGCCATTTCTCTGTCATTGTTTTGAAGTGAGGTATGTAATTTTCAGCAGCCATTTTGTCAACACTGGCTGCTTACCATGCCTAGTTATGCTATGAACCCCAGTTCTTGCTTTAAAGTTGTGAAACCACCTCTTACTCGCATGAAATGTTTCACTATTTTTACTCATTGATGGATTATCTTTTAAAAGAGCTACATTTATAGCCCTAGCTTTTTCACAAATTATAGGCTAAGGCTATAATCTGTCTTAGTTTATCCATACTAATAGACTAAGGCCTTTCTACTTTATGTAACATGTTTGATCATGACTTACTAATTTGAGTAACACCATTAGTAACTTTAGCTTTCTTATAAAAATCTTTCCTCTGTAGGGTTGTTGAGATGGTGAGTTTTGACATGCTGTACTAAGTATTAGTGAGATTGGTCATACCAATGCCACTCTTGTATTTCTCCACAATTTCCTTCTTCTTTTCAATTGCTATTGCTTTCTTTACCTTTCCTTTCCCTAGCTGCTTCTGTCAATTTTTGGAGGCCATTTTGATAGCGGTAATCATAGGGATTATGTAAAGCTCTAACTGAAATCACATCCACAGACACACATATCTGGGCTCAGACTGATGTTTATGTATGCTTACATATGCTTTTCTGGCATTGTGAGTCTTTGTTTACAACTGCGTAAGCGGCCAACATTTGGGTCATAACTCAAGACTTTGACTGTAAGTGAAATCTAAAGTTCTGGTTGTAACCCAAGTTGTTTGTATATGAAGTTGGTCGCAACTCAAAGGTCCACTGTAGCTTGATTTATTTAAAAAAAGGTTTAGTCTCATTAATAAATATATGTTTTTATTTCAGATTAAGTATAAATTCATTTATATTTGAAGAAATTGCTAAAAAGAAAAACTCTTGCCATTTTAGAAATTATTTAATTAATATTTAAATAATATTAGTTGGAAATACTTTTAAAGCAATCTAAGTTCAGAGTTGTATTATGTAGGATTTTCTGTAACAAAATTGGCTTATAAATTTAAAGTTGCTCAGTCAACAAAAACACACAAAATGCCATGATTCCTACTTTCAAGCTGTACATCAGAGCAGCTGTTCTTACATCTGGCTCCACTCAGCCATAGCGACTTCCCCCTGGGAGCTGTTCACTATTGCACAGTGGACAGCAGATCTGCCCTCACCCAGTCCAGATGCCGAGAGGCATTTTCCTGCCTAGGTGGAAGGACAGACTTGAGAATCGGTCAGCTCTGGCTGTGCATGTATCATTTCATTTAACTAGATGGTATCTCCTTCAGAGATACCTTTCAGTTATTTTTTAAGTAGGTAAGTATTGAAAAAATGCACTTTTTATAAGACAGCTCAGTCTTCATATACTGGATGATTTTTTGCCCTAAAAATAGAGTGTTATTAAACCGAGGTCTTTGAATGCTAAAAAGAAAAGAAGAGATACTGTTTTATGTATTATAATTTGTTTTCCTACTTGTTTTAATATTGAGCTTCATTGATTTTTATATTGACATGTATTGGTCCTTTTCCCATTTGTCTTTGTTTATAGATTTTTATATTGTCATTTACATGGGATTATAGAAAGCACCTTAAGGCCCCCAACTCTGTAATTTAGAGTATGTATGTTTATGTCTGTTGGTATTGTGGTTTGAACCCAGGACCTTTGCAGTGATGTACCTGTCCAGCCCCTTTATTTTTCATTTTGACTCAGGGTGTTCCTAAGTCTCTGAGTTATGCATGCTTGGCTCAAAGTTGTGATTCTTCTGTCTCAGCCTCCCAGAGTACTGGGATTGAAGGCATGCATCCTCCACATGCAGTCCTGTATTTTAAATTGGTAATGAATTCACTTTAATTCCACATGAAAATTCTTTGTCTTTGCATTGCTCTTTCATGTTTTTGATATCAGAGTAATTATTATTTTGTGTATCCCTTAACAGAGGTTTATGATGGTTTATTTATGCTTTTCTCTTTCAAATTTCATAGCATACAGAATTGTTTATGTGTTACATCTCCTTTCCCAGAGAGCTTTAAAATGTCATGGTTTGTGTTGCTTGTGAGCATTTTATTTTTCAGTGGAAATGATTTTCTTTACCATTTCTGGTAGGCTAGGTCCGTCTAATCCAGTTAGTGAACTGATCCAGTTATTGCACCCATGAGCCAGTCACTTCCAAAAGTCCTACCTGGGACTGTGTGAGGCTTTGATTCTTTTTTTTTTTTTTTTTTTTTTTTTTCTCCGGTACTGGGAACCGAACTCACGACCTTTCGCTTGCCAGGCAGACGCTTTGCCACTGAGCTAAATCCCCAGCCCCTGTGTGAGGCTTTGAGTAGGCATGTAAATATAAGACATAACAATGTAGAACAGTATGGAAGTTTCTAAAGAAATTATAATTAGAGTGATTATATGATTCAGCAATTCTGCTACTGAACATACAGCAAAAAAAAAAGTGAAATGGATATGTTGAAGTTGTTTCCACTCGTATATTCAGTGCAGCATTGTTTACAATAGCCAAAATACAAAAACAGTCTAAGTGCGCATCAATAGATGAAAAATAAAAATCCCAAACAAAATGGATTACTATTCAGCAGTAAGGAGAAAATCTTATTATATCAACATGGGTGCGTATTTAAAGAACACAGAGGACTTTACATAATATGAACTAAGGCAGACACCAAAATAAATTACTGCATGATCTTATGTGGAATCTGAAAATGTTGAAGTCAGAAGTTTCAAGAATCAAATATTGATTACTAGGGGCTATGGTTTTTATGGATGGTGGTCAGGATAATTTTGGCAAAAGGTTACAAAATTTAAGTTTAATATATATGAACAATAGAAGAACTCAACTACTCAAAATGGTGAGTGTAATTAATGTATTGATAAGTGGTAATAGAATGTAAAATATGCTAAGCACTAAAATGATGATTATATGATATAAGTGCATGTGTTATTTAGCTAGATTTGGTGATTCTAGCACATATGTATACTTTTTTTTGGTACCAGAAATTGAACTCAGGTCCTCATGCTTGCCAGGCAGGTGCTGTGCTGCTGAGCTATATCTTCAGCTTACATATATACACTTTAAAACATTATGATATACTTCATAAATACATAGAGTTTAATTTGCCAATGAAATCATTAATAATAAATTTTAAGAAATTTCAAACCCAGTCATTTGTCCCAAAATAAACCTATCTATAGAACTCTGTTTTAGAATAAATAAGCCAGAATTAAAAATAAACAAAATGAAAATCCCTCAAGAAAGCCAGCATTTGTACATGTTTTCCTCTTTTTCTGTCCTGAGGGAGAAGAAAGGGTTGTTTTTTTTTTCCTTTCTTTTTTTAAACCTCTAATTCCACAGTGCTCTGGGGAGGAAGATCTGTAGTTGACAAAAGTAGCAAATGTTCCTCTTCCTGTATGGTGTATCTCCCTGCCCCCACCCCCCCAATGTGCTGTTCACCTGGAGTGCTATAAACTCTTAGTTTTGGAAGCTCTTACAACAATATGGTCAGTATGTTGTTATGTTCATGTATCTCTGGAGTTACTATTCTCCTATCCTGCTGATGTTACCAGCTTCATATAATTTGATGTTATATTTGCAAAATATATTCACTGCAGTCTGTTAATTGAGATAACTTCTTATTTTTGTTTCAGCTGTATCTTCTCATTATATCCAAGACTTTTCAGGAGAGCAGTGTATAAAACATTTGCTCCAGAATATGATAAAGGGAAGATATGGAAATTGTGGCCTTGACAATTTATACGTAAGGAAAGAATGGGAAAGCATGGGTGAGAGTGAAGGTCAGAGTATATGTTATGATGGACATAACCAATGTGTGATACCTGTCCACAGCAAAAAATTGTTGGTCAATGGAGATGAAGAGCATCCATCATCTCAGAAAAGATCTCAGTTTATTCCAGTTTCTTCTGAAGAGCCATGTGTTTGTATAAGTAAGTATCCACACCAATTTTTGAAAGATAACTTCCCTTTGAAAGGAAAAATAGAGAATCTGAAAAGGGGCCTACCTCATTCTACTGGGTTAAACTTTAACTTAAACATCTCTATTGACAATGGATTTAAAAATGAAGAAATTTGTAAATGTGATCAGTTTGAGAGTCCCTTTAGAAAAAGTTCATCCTGCAATGAAGAAACAATTTCTCCTTTGGTCAAAATACACAATTTTAATGATTATGATATTTTTACTTTCCCATTATTGATTAATCCAGATGCAGATATGGATATCTGGAATGTACACTACATTCATAATGAAACTAGGAATCCCTTTAGCCAGGGGTCTATTCTAAATAATTACCCAGATACTTACATTGGTGAGAAAATTTACGAACGTGATGAAACTCACAAAGACTTCATCTGTGGCTCAAATCCTTGGAAACATGAGTGGACTTGCTTTCCAAAGGGTCTTTCTCAAGATAAAAAAGGTAGGAAAATCTATAAATACTCAAAATTTGCTACCCTCCCAAGTATCCATATTCAAAACAACACTTACAGATATAAAGAATGTGGCAAAACTTTTAATCAAATTTTAGACCTTATTCAATATCAGAAAATTCATTCTGGAGAGAAACCTTACAAATGTAAAGAGTGTGGCAAAGCCTTTACCCACGATTCAAGGCTTAAACAACACCTGCACGTTCATGGTGTAAGAAAGAAACCCTGTAAATACAAAGAATGTGGTAAAGCTTTTAATCAGATCTCAGGTCTTACTCAAAATCAGAGAATGTATACTGGAGACCAATCCTACAAATGTAAAGAATGTGGGAAAGTCTTTACCCAGGATTCACGACTTAAACAACACCTGAGAATTCATAGCACTGGAGAGAAACCCTACAAATGTAAAGAATGTGGCAAAACTTTTAATCAAACTTCAGGCCTTTCTCGACATCAGAGAATCCATACTGGGGAGAAACCTTACAAGTGTAAAGAATGTGGCAAAGCCTTTGCCCAGGACTCAAGCCTTCGCCAACATCAGAGAATTCATACTGGAGAGAAACCCTACAAATGTAAAGAATGTGGCAAAACTTTTAATCAGATCTCAGTCCTTACCCGTCATCATAGTATTCATACTGGAGAGAAACCCTACAAATGTAAGGAATGTGGGAAAGCCTTTAACAGGCTTTCATATGTTGCACAACACTACAGAATTCATACTGGGGAGAAACCCTACAAGTGTAATGAATGTGGCAAAGCCTTTACCCTGTATTCAAGCCTTAGAAACCACCTAGGAATTCATAATGCTGGTGAGAAGCCCTACAAATGTAAAGAATGTGGCAAAGCTTTTAATCAAATTGCTAACCTTTCTGTACACAAAAGAATTCATACAGGAGAAAAACCCTACAAATGTAAAGAATGTGGCAAAGCCTTTAATGTTCGTTCAAACCTTACTCAACATCAAAAACATCATACTGGAGAGAGACCCTACCAATGTAAAGAATGTGGCAAGTCCTTTATTCAAATTTCAAACCTTATTCAACACCGGAGAATTCATATAGGAGGAAAGCCCTACAAATGTAAAGAATGTGGCAAAGCTTTTAATCAAAGCTCAAACCTCATTCGGCACCAGATAATTCACTTAGGAGAGAAACCCTATAGATGTAAACAATGTGGCAAAGCCTTTAATGGTTCTTCAAATCTTACTCTCCACCAGAGAGTTCATACTGGAGACAAACCCTACAAATGTAAAGAATGTGGCAAAGCATTTAAACGAATCTCCAGTGTTACTGTACACCAGAGAATACATACTGGAGAGAAACCCTACAAATGTAAAGAATGTGTCAAAGCCTTTAGCGATTGTTCTGCCCTTATCCAACACAAAAGAATTCATACTGGTGAGAAACGATACAAATGTAAAGAATGTGGTGAGGGCTTTAATAAAAGCTCTCGACTTACTATGCACCAGAGAATTCATAATGGAGGGAAACTCTATAATTGTAAAGAATGTGGCAAAGTCTTCAATGATTGTTCAACTCTTACTAACCATCACAGTATTCATACTGGAGAGAGACCTTACAAATGTAAAGATTGTGGCAAAGCCTTCAATGATCGTTCAACTCTTGCTCAGCACCATAGAATTCATACTGGAGAGAAGCCATACAAATGCAAAGAATGTGGCAAAGCTTTTACTCAAAGCTCACACCTTACCCGACACCAGAGAATTCATACTGGAGAGAAACCCTATCAATGTAAAGTATGCGGCAAAGCTTTTAATCAAAGCTCAAACCTTACTCAACACCAGAATATTCATAGTGAGGATAAATTGTAAAAATGTAAAGAAAGTGGCAACTCTTATTCAGATTTCAAACCTCATTCGTGGAATGACTGTGGGAAGATCTTTGTCCCAAATATACTTGTCAGAGTACCGCAAAATACTTATACTGAAGAAGAAATCCTTCATAAATGTAAACAGTGTAACAAGCATTATGCCTCAGAATTTGATGTATATAAGAATTCTTACTGGAGAGAAATCACACATGTATAGAAAATATGACAAATCCTTCAACATTTGCTTAAAATTCACTGGACATCCTTGGTTGATGTGGTAGAATAATCTTCACTTGGTGTCAGAGTAATACAGAAAATTTATCTCTGAATGAATAGAAATTTATTGTAAATTTTAACTTACAGAATATCCCTTTGAAAAGGAGAAATCACACCTCTCAGGAGATCATCCTTTGAAGAACAGGATTCCTGAGTTTTTAATCTATACTTTTCTTTACACTGGAGATTGAAATATTTGAGATTATGCATGGTTTTTGTAAGTAAATAAAACAGTGTGGTGTTTGAATGATGTCTTTCTGCCACAGGCATTCCATTTCTGAATCTGGATGACATAATGCACAATTAGGGAAATGATGGAAGGACATCTTTATTAATCCCTTTCCCCAGTGTCATTAAATATGAATTGTTTGGAGAATACTCTAATTTTTATCTGTTTTTCCCTATAGTAATTACTGAGAAATTGTAATGGTTATACAAATGATATAGGAGTATCAACCCTGTATTTTCAAATTGTTAGTTACTAATAAAATTTGTGTCCTTTAATTTTTCCACGTTTTAAATATTTTAAATATACTGAGTTTTTACAATACAATGATTACCTTTATTAATTTTTGGAGCAAAAGAACTATCAAAATTGTAATTGTGTGTTTGTGAATATATGTATTTATGTATACCTACCTTTTGAAGAGAAAGGGATTATAGAAATGAAAGATAATTTTGAAATACTTGAAAATGTCATAGTGATTAATGTCACATATCTTAAAAAGAAAAATTTCATTTCTGCAAGTGTGGATTTCTGGCTTTAAGATCTTTCCATGCCAATTCTTTTTTTATTTGCTTTCAACTTCTACAAAACCTAACATGACTTGTTCAAAGCTCATGAAATACTGTTATACATGTTTAAGCATGGTTTTTATAACATTTAGTAGAGTTCAGGAATGTCTTCTGGAGATGATTTTCACACCATATTAAGAAACATTTTATTAATGTATTAAGTTTCCACTTTAGCAGAGGAATGAAGTCTTTTTTTATGTTTCTTTCAGTTTGACAAATGAGATAAAATTCAGTGAATTCAGTGAGCCAGTTGAGGTGAAAACTGGATAAACTTCAAAAGTCAGGAAGTTGACATTTATATGAAACAACAGTGTTGGTTATACAATGTATTCCACAACTAAGAGAAAAGTGTTTCAAGCGGAATGCTTTTGCTTCATGTAGTAGAAGGAAACCTGCAGGCAGAGGAGATACTGTTTATACATATTGCATGTAGACACGTCCATCACCTAAAAATGTTTTGTGCAATTCTATAATGCATGGCTAATTGGCTACTGACCTTTGGAAATGGTATGTATTTTTTTTTTTT